TTTGGTTTTTCGAGACAGGGTTTCTCTGTGTAGCTTTGTGCCTTTCCTGGAACTCACTTGGTAGCCCAGGTGGTCTCGAACTCACAGATATCCGCCTGCCTCTGCCTCCCGAGTGCCGGGATTAAAGGCGTGCGCCACCACCGCCCGGCCACATCTTGATCTTAAACAGGATCAGAGAGACATATTGGGAACAGCTTGAGTCTTTTGAAGCCTCGAAGCACTTGATAATCCTCCTGCAAGATCACACCCCATAATCCTTCCCAAATGTCCCATCAACTGGGGACCAAGAATCCAAACATATGAGCATATGAGGTCCATTCTCTTCTAAATGGACAGTTGCTACTCTTTCTCCAGATACTAACCCTTCCTTCTTCTTCCCCTAAGTTCTCATTTTCAGGAGAGGACATGGATTAATTTATTTATTTATTTATTTATTCACCTTTATTGCCATCCCTCACTCCCAACTCTAGTCACCCTGTTTAATATATCAAGTGTTCATCCTTTTCATTGTGTGTTGGTTTGTTTCCTTTTAAGATAGGGTCTCATATAGCCCAGATACAGCCTAGATTGGTCTCACACTCCTAAAGATCCACCTGCTCCCACCTCTTGAATGCTGGATGTACATGTATACACCACAACATCTGGCTTAATTATGCTTCTTATAAACTATATTATCTTGGGTACATGAAATTTTTTATTTGTAAGATGACCTGTGCCATAGCTCAATTTTTTTTTCTTTTCTTGTTTTATTTTTGTACAAGGTCATCCTCATTGAAGGGTTTGTCATGTATTCCAGGTTGGCCTTGAACTCAGGTCAATGAGGATGATCTTGAACTTCTTATCCTCCAAAGTACTCATATTACAGGTGTGTGCCACTGTCCCTGGTTTATGCCACCCTGGGAATTGAACTCAAAGCATGATGCATGCTGAAGGAGACCCCCATACAGTGGGGACTTCCTCCCAAACCCTGGGTTAGACACAAACCACACCCAAACACCTGTTTTCACAGAGAGATCCTTTATTAAGCAGGGAAGAAAAGTTAAAGTGACTGCTTTCTGACTCAGGCAGAAAGCAGCAGCAAATGGCCTTGCAGGTATGATTTTAAGAGGAGAAAAGGGGAGGTCTGTGTTAGAATGGGCTAGGATACAGTGGTAAAGGGGGTAGGGGAAGGGGGACAAGGGAAAGGAGGAATGGGTATTTATCCTGAGGGACAAAGGACTGCCTCTGGATAGAGGGAAGACAGACATGGCCCATAGGCAAATGGTGGTTTATAAAGGTAAAGGGGAAACCCTGTGTTAGGACAAGGTGTTTAATTTTAATCGGGCATGTTAATTAGGTGAACCAAAGGGGGCTTTTGATTGCTGGGCTTTGGTAGTCAACCTCAGGAGGAGGAGATGGCTAGACCTTGGTGGCTAGCTTTAGGAATGTAATCTAAAGGTTTTTAGCAAGGCAGGGGGAATTTGGGGGGAGGGCAAGGCCTGCCAGAGCCACATGTTCAAGTGGACTAGTGTCCCTTCACATACTAGGCAAGCACTCTACTAACTG